AATTTTAATTTTAGATTTAGTTACAAACCTTCGACATTTTCAATGAAGAAAAATCGTTTCTAAATAACTTTAGAAATCTGTTATTAATGTTACTAGATAGTGTGATAGTACAGGAGACTGCATATAGGATGAGTTTGATTTCGTGTACCAATTTTTTTTTATGCGAGGGATTACTGCCCAGGTAGCAAGCACACGTCATTTTGACGTTCGAAAGTAGTCATTTTTGGTCATATGTGGTCAAAATGACTGATTATTGTTACATGACTTTATATTGACGTCTTGCTATAACATTATTTTGACATCATTTTTCAGTCATGAAGTGACGATTATTTTATTATGAATGTCATTAGTTAGTACATCGATCCCATAAAAAAAATCTTTTAAAATTTTTTATATGACATGACTTATTTCGCGATCAGACTTTTTATATATATATATATATATATATATATATACATATATATTTATATATATTTATATTTATATATTTATTTATTTATATTTATATTTATTATATATTATATTTTTATATTTATTTATTTATATTATATTATATTTATGAAATAGAGAGATGAATTGAAAAGTTTAATATTACTGGCAATAACGAAAGGAATATTACTGAAATATTACTAAAATAGTCAAAATTATTAACTGATTCTTTCTATAAAATATTACTGATTTACAGCGTTGTAATTTATATAATAATTACTGTAATCAGTGATTATTTACTGTTTTTCAGTGATAATACACTGATTCACTTTTAGAGAGTGCTTTATTCGACAACATTTTTAAATATATTATTATGCTAAGAGAAAGACGTCAAAATGTGGTACATGTCATGACGTCAGGAATCTGTGACATTAGATCGTCACTTTTACGTCATAAAAACGACAATTCGTGACGTCAAGAAAAATCAGTGAATGACCAATTTGAAACATCAAAATGACGTGTGCTTGCTACCTGGGTGATTGCAATTGCAATAAATTAATCGATACATAGGTAGCAATTATTTGGATAAGTATTACATTCGATATGCATGGTCGATTCAAATAATTGACATCTATAGGTACTTTCCGATTCACATATGATGCGCATAAAGTGACAGAAAATGTATAATAATATGCGTAACATGAACTATACATTTTCTGTCACTTCATGCGCATCATGCGTGAATCGAAAAGTATATTATGTACCGATCAATTCATTCCAATTATAGTCGATAATTTCTCGCATGATAAAAAAATTATACATCTCTCATCGTCACAAGAACACAGCGCCTCTTTCGTCAAACGTGCGAACCGTACAAGAAAAATATGTGAAAAATGTAGCCACGATCACGAAGGTGACGTTTCTTAATTAACACATTGAAACTTTGCATCGTTATATTTCTGCTTATAGAGCACATAGAGCAAAAATAAAGACACTTTCCTTATATAAATCGAACCCAAGCAATTGATTAAATGTAATAAGAATTTGATCGATTCAGCGGTGATTGAGAACCGATAATATGCTTTACTCGCAACTTAGCCTTTCGCGTAAAGATACACGGTGTGTCTTGCGCCTGAGTGATGATGACTCGACTTCAAGACACTACCGTGTCTCTTGATTATTCCATGTAATAAATTATTTTGTATTAAATTTCGAATTATATTATTTAGAAATCCAAGCAACGTAAATATAATAGAATAGTGTGTCCGATGGAATCAGGCATAATTGATACATATACAACAAAACTTATCGATATGTTAAAATTTATCTCGTGCCTATCTCCGCGTTAGCAGAAACCTTCGGCTTTTTGCTTCGGTTCACTTACTAGTCTTCCAAAGATGAATCCATGATCTTGCGAGGGCTGGTCTCCAGGCAAAATTATTTCCGACCTTTATCTTCCCGCGATATCGGCGACACCTAATAAATGTCATTGAAAAAAAAGATTGTATGGCAGAGATCAATTAGGAGAATGTAGAATGTTACGTACTTGAATAATTAATGGCGCAATTAATACATATCTTTTTTTGCTTTGCTATGATATTTGTAAACCTCAACTTCCTCCTTTCACGAAAGGAAAAATAATTTATCCGGCCGCTAAAAATAACGATGGAATAAAGATGCTCCAAACGCGCATAAAATATGTAAAAATAGAGAACAGAGGAAAGCACTCTTTTATAAGAACACAATCTATATTATTAAATTCGAGAAATAAGCTATGAAGAATTTGATGATCGTATATAAAACACATTTAATTCCTTCCAAGAGATCTTATATTGATGAATGAAAGATATTTTCTAAGCAAAATTAAATATTACAGTAATTTCTTCCTGTTTTCGAATTATCTCTGTTCGAATATTGAAGTCAAGAGCACAAATGCGGAGCATATTAGAACTGTAATTAGATATAATAAGTGTCATTATTTAAGCAGGAGCAATTGTGCTTAAAATACTTTTGATATTTTATATAAATCAACTAAAAAGCGTTTCTTCATATAAAGAGCCTGTACCTTGTAAGCGTAAACGCGTCACACATTTGCTCGCGCAAATGTATGTGCGATCTATAAGCTGCAATGACATGAAAGTAAGAATCCAGTATAACTCTATCCATGTTTCACTAAACATGATCCAGTCTTTGTCCCATGATCTGGCACCTATAACTTTGGATACATTTGCATCATTTTGTAAGGTTTGTCGAGCGGCAATAATCATGTACTTCGACTTAATGAGAACATTATTTATTTGATAGAGGTACACTTAAAACTGTGCGGCCGGACCGACGCCACGCTACCTCGACACACGTGGTCGCTTCTTCCCGCGCGCGCTCTCCCTCGTGTATATATGCCGACTGACGCCACGCTGACGCCACGCTGACGCAACACTACCCTCTTGTCTTGCCAGCGCCCCCGCCTTCCATGGCGTACCAGGGTCATGTACCCTATAATAATCTGGGCGCGTAATTTGGTTTTTCTTTGGTATCACGTTCATCTCACAATTTCATCTCTTCCTTTATCGAATTCCACCTACGCAGCGGACATAAGCTGCCATAAAAGTTACCTGCATTCAACACAAATAACGTTACATATTTCTTAACTAAGTCAAGTTCGTTTCGGAGATAATATAATAGACGGAAGTCTTATTTCATCACGGTTACAATCGTGCTGAAAAAGTATGTAATATTTCCGTTTAACATTTAAATTTACTTGAAGTTAATGATATTTATCATTTCTAATTAGAATTTTTGCTGGTATAATTTTATTAATAATTTTAATAAAGATTCATATTCACTTTCCTACTACTGATTTTGATCAACATTATGTCGCTGAGTAATATACAAGATAAAATGCGTTTTAATTTCTTAGGATTTTAATTATACTGAGTAGGACTTTAATTATCCTGCAATGATACCCGATGCGTTTGTATTATAAGAATACTTTACGCATGATTACAGATTTTCTTATTGTTCTGCAAATCTGAGATATTTAAATTGTACTATTAATTATGCAAATGAGAGCAAGTTATTTTTTAATACATAGATTAATATATTTTGTTAATATTACAAAAATAAAAGCTGAATTCTTAATATAGTAACACAATAACTATAAAATTACATCTTAATATTTATTTATTTTATTATCTCTTAAGTTTTTTATTATGTTAATAATGTATATCAATATATGTATATTAGTACTGCATTAATTATTACTTGCTAATACACATAAATTAATATATGTATATTAATGTGTAATATATATGTGATTTAATAGTGGATAATATTACAGTATAGATTATAATTTTAATATAATGTAAAATAATTACGAATGTCGTACATAATAAAATATTATATGTTTAATTAATATTATAAAATACTATACATATAATTAATATTTAAATATATTTGTACATAAATATTAACAAATTAACAAACAGTTATATTAACATATGTTATTAATATCTTAAATTTGTCACGGATGACTTCCGCGAGATGATCGGATAGTCGCAGTCGGATGTGGAATTCGGTTTTCTGTGTAGGCAAGCTAATTACACTAGCAGTTTAGTTTTCAAAAAAACGAAAGAATATTTATTCAAAAGAAAATAAGTACAGAGTTTCGATGCGTGTGTGTGTGTGTATGGGTGTGTGTGTGCGTGTATGTGTACGGTGTAAATTTTGTATGCGTGTGCGAGAATAAATCGAGTGCAACGTGAATTACGGTATGAGTTTTGTATATGCGCATGAGAATAAATCGAGTGCAGTGTGATTTCGGTGTATAAACTGTGCTCGAATAATCGGCGTGAATCGATTAATCGATAGGTACGGTATGATCGCTGGCGAAACGTTTAATCGGTGTGAGCAGTTCCTACACCGGACGTAGAAAACTACATCCGATGTAGAATGTGGCTGATAATCGGTAGCTCGGTATCGTTAATATATCGCAAAGTTCGGGAATTGGAAGACGTATATATATATGCGTATATAATATTTTTATTCCACATTATATAAAAATCTTTCTTAATTTTAATTTAAAAATCTGCTTCGTTATGAGAAAAACGATTATTAATTTGATCAATTTCAGAAATTTCCCATTGTTTTATTCAAATATCCACCATATAAATTTGAAAGAGTGAACAAAAATCTAAAAAATAATAGTTATTCATTATATTTTCTTACATACAATACTGTAATATTATATTCTAGTGTTAATAAGTTACGTTTTTTCATTAACTTGCTTAAAGACAATTTACTGATACAAACACATAATAATATAGTTAATAAAATTTTATTTGAATGTAGATTGTAAATTATAAAAATTATCAAATTTTTGGTAAAGGAATATACTATTTTTAAATAATATAAAAGAATTCAAGTATATATATTTAGAGATATTTTTGCATTCTACATAACGATCTCTTTTGCTTTCAACCAATGCGAAATAGACAGTTTTGCCATCTTACGGCGCTCGATCGCTAGCACGAATTTGGAGTGGAAAAAACGGCACTGTGCTTTGCTATTACATACCGTTTCTCGATCGAACTGTCTGTTAACGACCTCAGAAGTTGTGTGTTTACATATGACATACACATTTATTGTAATATCGTCAAGTGTTATTAGTCTTTAGAAGTTTCTCGAAATAATAAGAAATCATAAGTGCGCATATATATTTCATGTTACAATGATAGTGGATAAAACATTAATTTATTGCAGCTAATTATTGTAACGAAACATACACTTGCTTAGAATTTGTAGTACATCTCATTATACAGAGTAAGTTATTCAAAATTAAGTTTATTTCTATATATTTGTCTTAATTCCTTCTTTTCCGCTAAATATCGTGATAAAGACAGTGCTGTGTCTAATTTGTCCGTTTGTACTTTCTAACAAAAATATTTTTACAGATATCTAAGTTAAAAAGTAATATCATGTTTCTTAAACTATTGTTAAGTAGCAGTTTAACAATCATCGTCGCGGAGGCTTTTTTAACCGACGATCAGATAATTACAATATCTGAAGAAGAATTGAACAGGACCTCGACTTATATATTACCGCAACATTATGATATCATCGTTACATATATCGAAAAAAATATTCTTGTTATCGACTACAGTATACGTACACAGATTAAATATTCAACACCAAGCATTATGTTATATTTACACCTAAAAAATATTAATCTAACTGTGGTTTATTATCCAAATTATTATTCTATGAATGATATTAAAACTACGAACATTTATACACCGGTAAGAACTATGTATGATGTTGAGAAAAACATTGTCGAATATACATTCGCTGAAGATCTATTACCCGGGTATTACATCATAAAATTAGTTTATAATATAACTGAAGATACAGGTTTAAAAAACTTTTATAAAAGAGATGGGCGACAGTGGTAAGTAACTGTTAAAATGTTAAATACATAGTAATTTCATGATGTTTATGAACAAGCTCTGGTAAAGCATTTTGTTTCTATTTAAAAAGTATTTTCTAAGAAAAACTAATTTATACATAGACATGTACGTATCTGAAATGTTTCCATTCTTAATTATATGTTTCTTAATATTCTTTTGGTAAAAAATTTTGTAATTTAATATTATCATTATTATTAAAATGTAAGATGCAAATAAAAATTAATTTAATTAAAGTAGTCAGCAATAATACACGTCTTATACAGCATTTTATTGTCAACACTCGAACGAAATCAAATATTCCGGTAGATTTCCGAATTGTTTTCAAAATATAAGTATGACTTTGAAGGATTTATATTTTTTAAAACTTGTTTATATGTAATTTGAAATTTTGAACAAACACTTAAGTTTTACGCTGTTTATTTTGACAATACTAAACTTTAGGAAATTCATTTCTAATATTTAAAACAGCTTATAATTTAGAAAGAAAACATTTCCAGACACATGTTTATATGAATTCTATTTATCCTTATTCTCCATAAAAATCATTATCAAAATTTGATTAATTCATGAATACTTACAACTTTCATAAAAACTCTGCACATAATACATACAATTAAATATATAAGCTATACTTATGCTGTTTTATGCATTTAAATGTGCATTTACACACACCCATATTATTTAGAAATAATACTATTTTTGCTAATAACTAAGATATATATACATATGTGTTTCATTTAATAAACCATCGCTAAAATAGGCAGTTTCTTTCACTCGTATAAAATTATGTACAAAATCGTTGATAATATATCAACTAAAATCAATTTAAAAAAGTTATTATTCTAATACTATTTTATATTAATATTTATTTTAATTTTATTAAACGCATTAAAATTTTGATACTAAAATATTAATTATTAAATATTTATTTTGTACCTGTATATTCTAAAATAGACATTTTACGAATCCCGCACAGCTAAAATGTATGCAACTTTTATAGAATTTCATTGAAACCTCTTTTGCATTAGATTTTGCGATGTCTTTTATTATTGTTAATTTATATTTCTAAATGTAATAGGTTGGCAACGTATGTTGATCGTATTGGAATCCAACATATGATTCCGACTTTGCCCGAATTTTCAAGAACCATCATGCCCTATTATGATATTATTGTCGAACATTATCAAAACTATACAGTTTTATCAAATGAACCAAAAATGATAGAAAAAATAAAAACGAATGATAAAAACATGACGAAGACACATTTTAATACGCTTGTAAAGCCTATGTATCTACTATTTTTGACTAATCGAAATTTTTCTCTTATGCCTGGTACAAATGAAAGTGTCAGAGTTAATATGTGGTGTAGAATGCACTGCGAATTTGCACACCAATTTGCTGAAAATATAACATTGTACGTGTTCGATAAATGGAAACGTTTGAATCAAATTTGGGAAATAAATCATATTGCACTTCCGGATTTTCAAAACGAAAGCATCACAAATCTGGGCCTTATTTTTTACAAGTAATTATATAATTAAAAAAAATTAATATATTTTAAAGATGAAAAAGAGAACAACAATTCTTGATAACTAAAATTATTTACATATGTTTTCTCTATTTTTAAAATATTATTTGAATATATTTTAGAAAATAAGTTATATTGTATGAAGCAACGAGAGGAGAAACATATCTAATCGTTTATTGTCAGTTCAGTTTATTATTGTCCAGAAAGTTATTGCAATTTTTGTTGTTTAAGATTTGGAGCTTTTTTCATGTTGTCTTTCTTTGGTATTTATAATGAATTTTGTATTTATATTGTATTAATTTAAAAGCGCAAACTTTGCTCTACATTCTAATAAAAATGACTGTATTTTGATTTGATTGGTTTCCGTTTTATTTAAACTATGAAATTAAGAATGATAAAATAGCAAATTCCAGCGATTTTTTTATATGAATTCAAAATGAGGCGTTCAAAAGCAGCTGAAGTCTCTCAATATTAACGTTGCATTTGGTCTAGAAACCGCTAACGTACAATGCAATGATGATTTCCGTAAATTTCAGTGGAGATGAGAGCCTTGAAGTTGAAAAGTTCTGGACGACTGCGATTATTGACGACGACCACTTGAAGGTGTTAGTTGAAACAGAGTCACGCACATCGATTTAAGAACTAGCGGAAAAACTTGGCGTAAGCAAGTCAGCTGTTTCTGATTACCTGGAACGAATTGGAAAAACAAAGAAGCTCGACAAAAGGATGCCGCATCAAAAGAATCGTCACTTTAAAGTGTGTTCTGCATTGAATTTGCGGAAACAAAATAATCCGTTTTTCAATCGCATTGTAACGTGTGATAAAAAATGGATCCTACGATAATCGTCGACGTTTTTCACAATGGTTAGACCATGATGGAGCATCAAAACACTCTCCGAAACCAAAATTGTATTAAAAGAAGATTATAGTGACTATTTGGTAGTTATTAGCCGAGATAATTCACTACAGCTTTTTAAATTCGGACGGAAATATTACGGCAGAGAGGTACTGTCAAGAAATTGGCAAAATGCATTAGGAACTGACATGTTTGCGTTCAGCGTTGGTCAACAGAAAAGGCCAATACGACAATACTCCATTACACGCCGCAAACCGACGCTGCATTAATCAATTGAGCTATGAAGCTCCATGAAACTCTGTCTCACCCATCATATTCGCCGGTCTTCTCACCAATTTACTACCACTTCTTTAAACATTTCGACAATTTCTTGCAGGGGAAACCTTTAACAATAAAGCTACTGTAGAAACGCCTTGGAAGAGTTTGTCGCTTCTAGAAATCTAAATTTTATGTTACAGGAATAAATAAATATTGTTTCTCGTTGGCAAAAATATTTAAACTTCAATGGTTCTCTTTTTATTTGATAAAGTCCACTTGCTAAAATATGCGTATTTGAACTTGAAAGTTAAAAACCACAATAATTTTCTGGACAACGTGTCTTCAATGTACATCAACTTATATGAAAAATAATATAAAAATATATATATATTTTATTGTATAATCTTAAAATTGAAAATTACAAATTGAAATATAAAATCGTAAATTAAATAATTATATTAAGATATAAGTATAGGTATAAGTGTTATATTAAGGTTTTCACCTTTATCAATCAAAATTTAAAGAAGTTATATATATATACGTATATATATATATATATATATATATATATATATATATATATATAGTGCGATGCTCGCTTTCAACATGTTGCATTACTTCGTAATGTGCATTTAGAAATAAAACATTGATAATAACATATAATTAATATGTTAATTTAATAGAATCATTTAATTATAAATTTGGAAATACAATATTTTTTATGTGTTATTATACAACAGAAATAATCATTATATAAAACATTTTTTTTACTTTTCAGAGAAGCAGATATTATCTACAATGACAATGTAGATTCTGTTGCGACTAAAATCAAAGTTTCCCGATTCATGGCCTATAAAATAATAGAGGAATGTTTTTATTATGAAAATCCACTTTGGCCATCATATATGTTCGATGAAGCTCTTGTCTCATTTCTTGGATTATATGTCACCACGCAGGTTATTTTAAGCATTCTTTAGTGCAAACTTTTCTCACTAGCAAACAATATGATGGATATAGTACATATATAGAGTATTCTAAAAGTCCCAGAACGCTAAAATATCTCGAAAACCATCAACTATAATGAAAAATATAGGAAGGAACAAAATTGTAAGAATAAATAAAATGTACTTAGTGATGATAAGAATTTAACCTTGGATGAAATACTTAAAAGTCATATGAAGGTCAAATTAATTTTTTTAACTGAAACTCTCCATTTTTTATTGCATATTTCAAGAGCTTTCCGAAAAAATATAATTAAGTTAGTTTTTATTAAGTACTTTCCGAGTTATAGGGCTTAACATCATATCTTAATTATACACAAATCATAAAATATCTGGTAAAGTATTCATTTTTCAATTATCTTAATACTTTTATGTACAAAATAATGAGAGGAATCAATTTGTGTGAAGAAAACACATAGTTATTTTTAAGAAAAAATATGTAATTGTTAATTGCAAATCACATATTTTTTCGTAAAAATAACTATGTGTTTTCTTTAGACCAATTGATTCCTCTTATTATTTTGTACCTCTTATTATTTTGTTGTATAAAAGTATTAAGGTAAGATAATCGGAAAATGATTATTTTACAAGATTTTTTATGGTTTATGTAAAATTAAGAAATAATTTCAAGCCTCATAACTCGGAAAACACTTAATGGAAACTAAATTATAGTGATTTGAAAAGGTCTAAAGAAGGACTATAAGAATATACAATAAAAAATGGGGAGTTCCATTTAGAAAAATCAACTTGATCTTTATATGACTTTGAGTACTTCATCCATGGTCAAAGTCTTATCATCATTAGGTACATTTTATTTAGTCCTACAACATTGTTCGTTATATATTTTTTATTATAGTTGATCGTTTTCGAGATATTTTAGCGTTTCGGGACCTTTTGAAGACCTTGTTTATTAATTCTTTAGAAATGAGCAAGCTTGGTGTTAAACTGATATATATATATATATATATACAGGGTGAGTCATTTTAAGTGACGGACTAAAATTTCTCGAAAACTATAGGAGATACAGAAAAATGTTTCAAACAAAAATTGTAGGGTGTGAAGGGGGACATAAGATGGTAGCATTGGTTTGACCTTGGAAAGTCATTTGAAGGTCACATAAAAGTCACCTTTAATTTCTTAAATTGAACCCACTATTTTTCATTACATATTCTTGTAGCTTATCTCGAGAGCTTTCCAAAACACTACAGACAAATGTTTTTTCATTAAATACTTTTTGAGTTATAAGGCTTCAAAGTTTGCAGTACTTCGATATAAAATGCAAAATATCTCGTAAAATATTTAGTTTTCGGTAGTCTTACCCTAATACTTTTATGCACAGGATAATGAGACAAAACTATTGGTGCAAAGAAAACGTATGATTGTTTGTGATAAAAAATGTGTAATTTGCAATGCACTTTTTGTTATAAACAATCATGCGTTTTCTTTGCACCAATAAATTTTGTCTCATTATCCTGTGCATAAAAGTATTAGGGTAAGACTACCGAAAACTAAATATTTTACGAGATATTTTGCATTTTATATCGAAGTACTGTAAACTTTGAAGTCTTATAACTCAAAAAGTATTTAATGAAAAAACATTTGTCTGTAGTGTTTTGGAAAGCTCTCGAGATAAGCTACAAGAATATGTAATGAAAAATAGTGGGTTCAATTTAAGAAATTGAAGGTGACTTTTATGTGACCTTCAAATGACTTTCCAAGGTCAAATCAATGCTACCATCTTATATCCCCCTTCACACCCTACAATTTTTGTTTGAAACATTTTTCTGTATCTCCTATAGTTTTCGAGAAATTTTAGTCCGTCACTTAAAATGACTCACCCTGTATATATATATATATATATACAGGGTGAGTCATTTTATATATATACATATATATATATATATATATATATATATTCTTTGAAAAATGAGCAAGCTTTGCGTTAAAATTATATGTATATATGGTAAATATTTACCTTTACATAGCCACCCTAAAATTACTTAACCTTGACAATATTGTCAAGGTCACTTATGCCTTGAGTAATATCCAAATGTTTTAGGCGTCGCTTGTTGTTTATTAAACAGTTATAAACAAAAGAAGTTTTACATGTTTTACAGAATTTTTGAACATCATGTACAATAATAGACTTTTTGTATTGAAAGTTATAAAGGATTAAACATATTAAAGAACTTTTTAATAAACAACGAGTGACGCCTAAAACCTTTTGAATGTTACTCAGTGCAGTGACCTTGACAGTATATGTCAAAGTCAAGTCATTTGAGGCTGGCTGTGTAAAGTTAAATATTTACCATTATAGAGGGTAATTTTTTTTATAAATCAAAATATTAGGTGAAGATTTTATATTTGCAAATATAAATGAGTTTTTTAAAAATGCTAATTTTCAAATAAATCTGCAACATACATAGATAATACAATTTAAAATAGTTTTACATTTTTATGTTTCTTTTATTTTGTGTGTGTGTCAAAGTCATTATGTTACATTTATCTGATTTTAAATTATTATATGAAAAAAAAGAAAAATTTGAAAATTCGCGCGAAAATCATTCAGATTCCACGTAATATATGTATAAATATAGAAATTGTGTAATAAGATAATTTTGCTATATAACATATTTTAATAATTCTAGAAATATTTAGTTTTAAAGTTATATGTTGAGTAAAATCATTTTTGTTATGAATATATTATATTTTTAAATTATTTATTCTATATTTTAAGTGTATAAGAGTATAACAAATTTTTTTTACATACACGAAAGTAACAGCTCTAATGCATATTGCTATAGTATGTTAAATATAATATTAATTAAGTAAATACGTTTAAACTATTTTCTATAGACTCTCCCAAGTACCCGGATGATGGACCTTTTTGTGGTACAAATTCAACAGGACTCTCTTCATTTAGATACTGTATATTATACATCACTTTATAATACATCATTCGACATTTATTTTCAACATTACAGTTACATTAAAGGTATGATAATATAATTAAAAATTGATTATGCGTAGATTGTTGAAAATAAATGCTTAAAGAACAAACAGAATAACTGATAAAAACTTTAATTTTATATACTCTTCATTACACATGCACATGTATATACATACATAATAGAGCTGTAGGATATAAAATTATATATAAAATATATTATATGTACAGGATGTTTCTTTTTAAGTGATATAGTCGATTATCTCGCAAACCGATAATTTTATTGACAAATTTTTTGATCGAAAGTTGCATAGTTTGAAGGGAAACACATGATGAAAATATGGACTTGATCTTATCAAAGTCAGGATAAGATCATTAATGCTTTTTTAAATGAAAATTTTTATTTTTTTATTACATAACTACATTCTTGTATTACTTCGAAAGCTTTCAAAACGCTGTAAAAAAGTATTTTTTTATTGAGTACTTTTCGATTTATGAGGCTTAAAATAATATCTTAATTTTACATAAGCTATAAAATATTTAGTAAAATATTCATTTTTCGATTATCTTATCTTAATACTTTTATGTACAAAATAATGAGACGAACCAATTGATGTAAAGAAAGAACGTAGTTGTTTTCAAGAAAAAATATGTAATTGTCAATTCCAAATTAATGTGTTTAATATCAGTTTGTTCAAGAAAAGTATTAAAATTATCAAATTTTAACTTGTTATATCTTTTAAACCAATGTCGCCTCTCATTTACTTCTTTTGCGCGGAATTACGCAAGACAACTTTCTCTATAACATCTTCAAATGATAATGAAATCAGTGATGTAACGTTTTATGTACTTTTACTATAATTATTAATTATTATTTACTATTACTATTATCTTATTCATATTCTGATGTAAATTGTATAATTATAGTATCCAGTATATTGCGTTTACTACGAATGAGTTTTACTGAAGAGATATTTTGGCAGATTATCCGTACATATGTAAAGGACAAGTAAGTAATACTCTATACTAGTAAAATTACTATTTTTATTTAAATTAAATTAATTTTATTTTTGTTTAAACTTAAACCATTTCTTTCATACTTTATTTTCATTATTATTATTATTTCTATATTTTTTATTATTATCATTTCCATATTTTTTATCTTTAATGTCATTAAATATATAAGATATACAAAACATATTTTCAATTTATATATACACTTATCTTTTGAAAGTAATCAAGTTTGACCATTCCTTTTATAATTTAAACCTTTGCATCAAATATTTATCTAAAAACTATAAATCATATGATTAATTATGTAATTAATTATATATTTAATTAAATTAAACATATATATATATATATATATATATATATATACAGGGTGTCCGTAGATTTTCGACCAAAATGAAATAAATAAGTAGATTGGCTCGAATTAAGAAGGAATGACCTGTATTATTTTGGGATTGTCGCAATAATTAACGAAATATTAAATAAAACAGATCGGCCAATCTGCGTGAGTAAAAGCGCGCGGCGACGAGAGTCGTCCCACCGTAATCCGATACTACGAGCGCGGCGAAGCGGTGGGCGGGTCGCTCTCTGAGACATGATGGTGGTTTGCGATATATCGCAATACCGCGCCGAAAAATGACCCGTCCCCTTTTCGTGGCGAGAAAATGATGCGCTATCATTTCCACACCACCTTGCGGTAGATAGCATGGTGCGCTTTTTTTATAGTGGTTTCCCCCATAGGCCTATTCCACTCTCAATTTAAAAATTATTCAAAATGCCATTTACTATACGCTGAATATATCGTAAATGTAAAAAATTAATGGACAGTACCTTTACAAAAATTGATTCGTGGTTGAAAATCCCTCGATAAAATGTATTGCACACGTTGATAATGTGATACGATGATAAAATTCTTCAAGAATCCTTTCTTCATCTCGTACACGAAGACGCACTGCTGGACCGGTTATCCCGATATTATGCACGACACTCAGTTTCACATAATTATTGCACAACACGTAAAATTGTACGGCCACTTGGTTTTCGTGCACGCCCAAGAAATGATTCCATGTAAATTTCGGCCGCACGATAAGTATTTTCTCCCGCTAGTCCGTATGCCACAATCATATCTGTATATTCCTGCAGAGTACACTTCATTTTCTCTGTTAATTTACTACACAAACACAAGATTTTTATTAAAACGTCTTAGCTCTCACACGCTGTTACCAGACTGCGTACGCCAGCAGCACGCAACTACAGCTGAGCGGACATGCGAGTGTAATCATAGTGCGCAGGCGTCGAACTCACACGTACGCTTACACTCGCATGTCCGCTCAGCTGTCAGCTGTAGTTGCGTGCTGCTGGCGTACGCAGTCTGGTAACAGCGTGCGAGAGCTAAGACGTTTTAATAAAAATTTTGTGTTTGCCTAGTAAATTAACAGAGAAAATGAAGTGTACTCTGCAGGAATATACGGATATGATTGTGGCATACGGACTAGCGGAAGAAAATACTCATCGTGCGGCCGCAATTTACATGGAATCATTTCTCGGGCGTGCACGAAAACCAAGTGGCCGTACAATTTTACGTGTTGTGCAATAATTATGTGAAACTGAGTGTCGTGCATAATATCGAAATAAGCAGTGCGTCTTCGTGTGCGAGATGAAGAAAGGATTTTTGAAGAATTTTATCATCGTATCACATTATCAACGTGTGCATTTTATCGAGGGATTTTCAACCATGAATCAATTTTTGTAAAGGTACTGTCCATTAATTTTTTACATTTACGATATATTCAGCGTATAGTAAATGGCATTTTGAATAATTTTTAAATTGAGAGTGGAATAGGCCTATGGGGGAAACCACTATAAAAAAAGCGCACCATGCTATCTACCGCAAGGTGGTGTGGAAATGATAGCGCATCATTTTCTCGCCACGAAAAGGGGGGACGGGTCATTTTTCGGCGCGGTATTGCGATATATCGCAAACCACCATCATGTCTCAGAGAGCGACCCGCCCACCGCTTCGCCGCGCTCGTAGTATCGGATTACGGTGGGACGACTCTCGTCGCCGCGCGCTTTTACTCACGCAGATTGGCCGATCTGTTTTATTTAATATTTCGTTAATTATTGCGACAATCCCAAAATAATACAGGTCATTCCTTCTTAATTCGAGCCAATCTACTTATTTATTTCATTTTGGTCGAAAATCTACGGACACCCTGTATATATACAGGGTGTCAATTAAGTCCCGGGACGGCTGAATATTTTCTCATGTAAGGTATTTTTGAAAAAGGTCAAGGTCATTTCTGAAGTAATTTTCAACGAGGAATTCAACGGTGACCTTCAATTTGACCTTGAGCTTGACCTTCAAGGTTATTTGAAGGTCAAAGTGTTTTTTTTAAATAGGAACCCCTATTTTTGATTGTATATTCTTATAGCTGACCTCGAGAGCTTTCCAAAACACTATAATAAAATATTTTTCCCTCAAGCATTTATCGAGTTATGATGCTTCAAATCATTTCTTAATTTTACATAAACCGTAAAATATCTTGTAAAATATTCACTTTTCGATTATTTTACCTTAATACTTTTATGTACAAAATAATGAGAGGAATCAATTGGCGTAAAGAAAACATATAGTTGTTTTTAAGAAAAAATATGTAATTTGCAATTAACAATTCCATATTTTTTCTTAAAAACAACTATATGTTTTCTTTACGCCAATTGATTCCTCTCATTATTTTGTACATAAAAATATTAAGGTAAAATAATCGAAAAGTGAATATTTTACAAGATATTTTACGGTTTATGTGAAATTTAGAAATGATTTGAAGCATCATAACTCGATAAATGCTTGAGGGAAAAATATTTTATTATAGTGTTTTGGAAAGCTCTCGAGGTCAGCTATAAGAATATACAATCAAAAATAGGGGTTCCTATTTAAAAAAAACACTTTGACCTTCAAATAACCTTGAAGGTCAAGCTCAAGGTCAAATTGAAGGTCACCGTTGAATTCCTCGTTGAAAATTACTTCAGAAATGACCTTGACCTTTTTCAAAAATACCTTACATGAGAAAATATTCAGCCGTCCCGGGACTTAATTGACACCCTGTATATATATGTATATATATATATATATATATATATATGCATAATGTCCCATTTTAACTTGGACAGTAAAATATCTCAAAAACTAAGACCAGCAAACAAAATGTTTCAGACAAAAGTTGTATGGTTTCGAGGGGGACATAACATGGTACCATTGGTTTGACCTTGAAGAGTTATTTGAAGGTTACATAAAGGTCACCTTCAATTTCTTAAAAAGAACCTACATTTTCTCATTATATATTCTTGTAGCTTATCTCGAGAGCTTTCCAAAACACTATAATTAAGTTAGTTTTCGTTAATTGCCTTCCGAGTTATGAGGCTTGCAATAATTTCTTAATTTTACATAAACCATAAAATATCTTGTAAAATATTTATTTTTCAATTATCTTACCTTAATACTTTTATATGCAAATAATGAGAGGAATCAATTGGTGTAAAGAAAACACATAGTTGTTTCGAAGAAAAAATATGTAATTTGCAATTAACAATTACATATTTTTTCTTAAAAATAACTATGTGTTTTTGTTACACAAATTGGTTTCTCTTATTATTTTGTATATAAAGGTATTAAGGTAAGATAATTGAAAATGAATATTTTATAGAATATTTTACGGTTTATGTAAAATTAAGAAATTATTTCAAGCCTTATAACTCCGAAAGTACTTGAAAAAGAAAAATATTTTATTATAGTGTTTCAGAAAACCCTCAAGATAAGTTACAAGAATATATAATAAAAAGTAGGCAGTTCCATTTAAAAAGTTGGAAGTGATCTTCACGTTACCTTCAGATAACTCTTCAAGATTAAATCAATGGTACCTTCTTATGGCCTCCTTAAAACCATATAACTTTTGTCTGAAACATTTTTGTCTTAAACTTGGATTTTGAGATATTTCAGTGCGTAGATTAAAAGGGCCTACCCTGTATATGTATATATATATATATATATATATATATATATATATATATAATACCTTTTATTAACATATCAATAAATTTTGAATAAATTTTATAATTTTAGCAAGCCACATTTTCACTACTTAAGTGAAGTTATAAAGAATTCGTCCATTCAAGTGCATACAGACTATTTATTTGGCTTATATATAACGGAGCTACTGATGTCTCCATCAAAAATAAATTATTGTCCTGTAGTGAAAATGGAACGAGATTACAATTTTAAACGGTTCAATGTAACAATGACATATACAGAGAAGCCGTATGATTTCGTACCTGTGACGTCTGATTCGTGGGATGGGGACTTTATAATATATAATCGACACCAAATTGGTAAGTTTGCAATAAATTTATTATATTTTATAGTGTTTATCATACATTCATATTGGAGAAAGATTTTCATTATTAAAAATATTATTCATTATGTCTTATATGTATTACATTTATTATACATTATATATACATGCATAAATTATATATATATTTATATATATATACATATATATATATATATATATATATACATACATACGCACAATTATTAGAAATATTCAATTTTCATGCAAAATGATTTTATATCTAATATAATACACAAATTGCATTTCCATTTATGTTCACTTTATGATACCTTATGATTTTCATCTTATGATTTTTTATCTTTATTAATGTATAAAAGTATAAGTACAAAAGTATAAACAGACACTTGTACTGATAAACCCATTGAAAGAATTATATATGTATATATATACATATATATATATTTATTTATTTATTTATTTTACAGGATATTATCCCATTGAAAGAATTATATATATATATTTATTTATTTTACAGGATATTATCGAGTCAATTACGATATCGAAAACTGGAGAAGAATTATAAGTTATCTAAATTCTGAAAATTATATGAATATATATGTTCTGAATCGTGCCCAAATTATCGACGACGCTTTCCACTTAATGATAACAAATCAACTTAATTCCATTGTATTCTGGAATATCACGAAATATCTGTCACGAGAAACAGACTACGTGGCATGGTATCCTATGTTCAAAGCTTTAGAATATCTGTCCAATATCTTTCTATTTCAGGAAAACATATATGTTAATATCAAGGTAATAACACATATTATAAACAATATCAATAGTGATGTCTTCAACATATTAGAAACATATTACTTATTGCACATATTAATATTGTGTGCATTTATAATAATAATTATTAAGTGTTTTCCAAAAAAATACATCTAATAAAATATACATAGCTAGAAAAAATTTGATTAAGTATTTTAAATATACATATTTTGGATGAAAGATAATTATATATTTGTAAATTAATATTCAAGTGTATGTACTAATCTTATAAAAAATTGGAGAGGAAAAAGGAGAAAAATTTGAAAATTATTATTATTTTTAATCACAGCATGATATTTATAATAACGGTTTAAATATCATTAATTTTGAGATAGCAAGTTAGTAGGAAACATATATATTAATTATCTGTTTAATACTCGAACAGTTAACATTAATATAATAAGTTATTAAATTATATTATGGATATAATGTCTACATTTATGTTTACATGTCTACAATATATGCATGTATGCACTTCTGTATGTTTATTTTATGATATGAACATGTGTTAAGCATGTGTGAATGTGCACGCAAGAAAAATTTAAATTTGTGTATAAATACGTATATATAAGTATAGCTATATAAGATAGATATCTTTATAAAAAGAATTCAGAGCTGTTTAGACAGACAGAATGTTCTTAATATATAAATCTTCTTAAGAACGTTCTTCTACAAAATGTTCTTAATATATAAATTTTCTTAATATATAAAATACAGTTGCGGAAGATGTCTTTCTATATAGCATAATATAATGCAAGAATCGAAAAATATAAAATTTATATCAAGTAACAATATAAATATATAGAATATATATATATATATATATATATATATATATATATATATATACAGGGTGTCTTATTTTAATATCCTCAAGCAAATATGTCGGAAAACAATGAAAAATCGAAAAAATGTTTCAGACAAAAGTTGTATGGTTTCTAAGGGAACATAAGATGGTGACATTAGTTTGACCTTGAAGAGTCACATGAAGGTTAAGATAAAGGTCAAGGTAATTTGCAATTAATAATTCCATATTTTTTCTTAAAAACAACTGTATGTTTTCTTTACACCAATTGATTTCTCTCATTATTTTGTACATAAAAGTTGTAAGGTAAGATAATCAAAAAATGAATACTTTACAAGATATTTTATGGTTTATGTAAAATTAAGAAATGATTTTAAGCCTCATAACTCGAAAAATACTTGATGAAAAAACTTTTATTTATAGTGTTTCGGAAAGCTCTCGAGATATGCTACAAGAATGTGCGAAAATATGTGGGGTATTCCATTTAAGAAATTCAAAATGACCTTCACGTAACCTTCATGTAACTCTTCAAGATCAAACTAATGGCACCATCTTATGTCCCCCTACAAACCATACAATTTTTGTCTGAAACATTTTTTCGATTTTTCATTATTTTCCAAAATATTTGCCTGGGCAATTTAAAATAAGACACCCTGTATGTATATATATATATATATATATATATATATATATATATGTATATACACACACACATATATACATATACAGGGTGACCCATTTTAACTTAGGCAGCCAAATAACTCGAAAAATAAGCACACTACGAAAAAATGGTTAGAATCAAAATTTCGTCATTTCGAGGGGGACGTACAATGACATTAAAATCAGCCCCCCCACCCTTCCCTCTGGGCGGTGAGGGGGGCAAGTTTGAAATCTTAAATGAGAACCCCTATTTTTGATTGTATATTCTTATAGCTGACCTCGAGAGCATTCCAAAACACTATAATAAAATATTTTTCCTTCAAGCATTTATCGAGTTATGAGGCTTCAAATCATTTCTTAATTTTACATAAACCGTAAAATATCTTGTAAAATATTCACTTTTCGATTATTTTACCTTAATACTTTTATGTACAAAATAATGAGAGGAATCAATTGGCGTAAAGAAAACATATAGTTGTTTCTAAGAAAAAATATGTAATTTGCAATTAACAATTCCATATTTTTTCTTAAAAACAACTGTATGTTTTCTTTACACCAATTGATTCCTCTCATTATTTTGTACATAAAAGTATAAAGGTAAGATAATCGAAAAATGAATGGTTTACTAGATATTTTATGGCTTATGTAAAATTAAGAAATTATTTTAAGCCTTATAACTCAAAAAGTACTTAATAAAAAGGTACTTAATTATAGTGTTTTGAAAAGCTCTCGAGATAAGCTACAAGAATATGCAATGAAAAATAGGGGGTTCCATTTAAGATTTTAAACTTGCCCCCCCTCACCGCCCAGGGAGAGGGGTGGGGGGCTGATTTTAACGTCATTGTACGTTCCCCTCGAAATGACGAAATTTTGATTCTAACCATTTTTTCGTAGTGTGCTTATTTTTCGAGTTATTTGCCTGCCTAAGTTAAAATGGGTCACCCTGTATATATATATATATATATATATATATATATATTTATTTATTTATTTATTTATATATTTAGGATAACATGCTATACTTATTAAACAACTTGCTTAATAAACTTAAATACGATGAAGTTTCTAGTGAATACGATTTTACAAAGTCTTTAAGAATGGAGGCTGCGAGATGGGCATGTAATCTTGATAGTGAAACATGCATAAAAAATGCCCAACTTAATTTAAATCGACATCTCAAAGATCCCGGAAATAACACGTAATTTTTCTTATATATTCTCGGTTATTTTAATTTGATTGTTTTGTAAATACATGTGCAATGTTTATTACATTATTTGATCCAAATTTAAATTTATTATGTTATATTATGAAATTATAATTTGTTAAATTATTTAATCAAAATATAAGATTAATATGTGCAAAACATTTATATGAGAGAATTTGTTTTTTGTTAAATAGGCTTTTGCTATGGTGGAAAGAATGGACATATTGTCAAGGTTTAAAAATATTGTACTATTCTTTTAGTAATGAAAATTCTCCTTGGGGGGAGTTATATCATCTGGGAAAAGAAAAATTTAAAACTAAATTTTTAAAACATCTGTCTTGCTTTGCGTATTCACAATTTATCAATCCCTATTTAAACCTAATAAAAATGATAGTACAACATCGATTATGTTTTTCAAAAATTCTTCCGATAAAGATTATATTAATTATTTTCTTTTTACTATCGCGAAGCATGCCAGGAATCCTGTAGTACTCGACTTCATATTAGAAAACATATTTACACTTGATAACATAAGACCCAGGTAATACAGCTTCCTTCGTAAATATATATCTATCATTCAACAATTTATGTATCAATAAATTTATTATTTTACTGTTATAGACAAGTCAGCGCGCATGCAACATTTATTGTTATTATTAATCATGTGTATTCTATAAATCAATTAAAAAAGGTAAAATACCACGTGTTTATATATGTATATGTAAAAATTAATAATCATGATGTAACATAAATTTGTTATTTAATATTGTTGTTGAATATTAAAATAATTTATTTTATAAATGTACTACTTTCTAACAGATAAATTTATTAATGCAACAGAAGTTGAATTAAATAAATGTAAGAAGTTATGGTTTTTTGTGAAAGAGAGAAATAGGAAAGTAAAAGTAAATTTTATGAATATTGTACTAATATTCCACTTATATTCACTTATTAATCATTAATTTTTTGCTTTTATTACAGTATATATTAATGTTACGGTATCCCAAAGTAACATGTAAAAATTAAATGTCATTTAATTTAATAATGTCATTCAATTTCTTTTATGAAAAGCATTTTTTATTTTTAATTTCTAAAAATACTAATTTCTAAATATATATAATTTTTAATAGAAATGCAGATTGAAGAATGATGAAACAAGTGAGAAGCAAAAAAAGAAGAGTTTCTTTATTGGAAACTTTAGTGATTTTTAAATAAAAATCGATTTATATAATTTAAAAAGAGAATTATAAGCTTAGATTTAAATCTTAAGTTATCTAGAATGTTTAACTTTAGTTAATAAATGTAAAACCATATTTAGTATGATGAAGAGATATTACGGTAAATGTGAATTGCATACTTTAAATATTATACAAGTCATTAGTTACCAAAAATTTAAATTATGATGGATAGGTAACACCGAATATGAATAGTCTGCTAGATATATCAATATAAAATAATTTTCTCTGTGAATAGCGTAACTTGTAAGGTTTCCTAATTTATTTTTAAATAACTAATTCTAAATTCCCTTAATTTTTATTTGTCATACTTACAAACTTATTTGTAAACATTTCTTACAGCCAAAAAATGTTACAGTAAAATACAGTTAGCAATAGCTGATGCACCATAATATGAAGAACAATAATACAATAAAAGATGATTTTGTTTCCCAGTACATTTCTCACGATATTTTTTGCTATGCTTTTCTATAGAGATTAAGATGATTTATTTTATAGAAATCTAAATGACGATATTATTTCAGTTATTTTATCGACGGACAAAAATAATTCCATATACAAAACTTGTTTTTAAAGGGAAATAATTATTCTAAAACTGAGGCACTATATTCAACATTTGGTTCTTTCTTAAGGAAAATTAGTCTCGAAAATTTATTATATTTCACATTTTAAGCTTTACTCAATTTTTTTAAAATTCGTCATTTTGTTCGATGCTGATTTGATGAAGAACGAACTATATAAAATCGACATTAATTGCCTTAAAAATGTTTAAAACTTATAAACCAGATTTTTTTTGGGATAACAAATTTTGACTCCTGAAAGAAAAATGGTAAATTTAATAAATGTATATTAACATTATCTTATTATATTATTAATTATTGTGTATGTATAATATTATAATATAATATATATATATAATATAATATATTATATATACACATATCACGAGATCCGTATTAATATAATATTATTGATAATTGATTAATTGGCCTATTCACACAACATACTATATCGACATAATCGTTTAGATAAACAAATTAGCAGAAAGCAACAAACGTATGTAAATGTATTTCCTAATGTGTAGCATATATACCAATATTTTTTAAATATCAAAGCAGATACGAAGCGCAATTTCGAAATCAAATTAAAAAGGATTACTTTCAAATTTTATGAATATCAAATAATATCATTAAAAGTAACGATTATTGACGCAAACATATCTATATCTTTCTACAAATAAGCATTTTAATAATGTTTATAGTTTATCGCTTTATTATTTATGCTTATGGTGTTAATAATATATAATAAATACACAATCAATTTAACAACGATACTTTGTGGCCCTGCAATTAACCCAGTATATTTCCTTATTAAACAAAATAAACAGTGTTAATATATTCATAATTATAATAATTGAAATTAATAATGTTATATTATAATAAAAATTTATTGCACAAATGAGAAAGTATCTCTAATATTTGACTATGTATATAATATATATTATATATATATATATGTATATATTTAATGCCATTATATATATATATATACAAAAATATATTATGTCCTTAATGTTACCTTTATTTATTTTCATCAAATATATCCTAAATATCCTGTAAAAAATTAGTCAGCGCTTATTGTATTAAAATGTTATAAGCAAAAAAAATATTGAAAAAAGTTAATTGCCAAGAAATAAAAATAATATTAATATAAAATCCTCTCAGAACATGAATACAAAATAAATATTAGAATATAAAATAAAATTTCTAGTTAATTATTTTTCAAATGTACTAATTTGAATATGTAAATTTGAAAATGTAAACATAATTAACAATACACTTAATATTTTTGTATCTTTGTTTACTAAATTACTTTGTAATACTAATAACTTCTTGAAAGCATATAAAATCGTAGTTTTGTCACTTTAAAAAATTGAAGTTTTATTTTTGACAGCGGGCATTTGTCGTCATAGAACATGTTATGTCTATGAGGGTAAACGACAGTGTAATGAAAATTTATTAGAAGTCACTGACACCATGAGCCAAATCAAAACAAAGTTTAATTTGTGGCATTTGAGTAGTGAATTGACAGACCGGTGCCTAAAAGATTACCTCGTTTGTTTCCAAATGTGGTTATGGTTGTTCCATTGAAATATATAAGACTCTTGCCGTTATAAATCGCATCGTTTGTAACATTAACCAGATCGAATATGTGAACTTATTTATTATTTTTTCGCAAATTTAAATATTCTTTTATATATAATCCTCAATTATTTTTAACATTGAAACTACATTGCATATTAACAATTTAAATCATTAATGTTTCCCCTGTGCTTTATGAACTCTAATAAAGCTAATGAATAATGTACTTTAAATTTATTGTAAATTATACATAATAAATTCTTAGACAAAATATTAAATTCTCAATCTCTCTCTCTCCTTCCCCGCTCACTCTCACTCACACACACACACACGCGCGCCGCGCGCGCGCGGCGCGCGCAACCGCACATGCACACCCACACGCACAGCACACGCACACCCGCCACGCACACACTCACACACACACTGTTGATAAACATAAAATAATCGCACTCTTTATCGCGACGTAATTTCAATTTAATAATATCATTAATTTTGTAGATAACATAACACTATTTTACAACCATTTTTTTAAATACAATTTTTATTAATAATTTTTTGTGAAAATAGTTTTATACATAAGTTTAACTACTGAAATACTCGACTTCTTTTTTTTTACCTTTTTTTTGAAAAAGGTAATTGTTTATGGATCATAATTTGTAGTCA